TACTCCTTCCGCTCCACCTCCGCCTGGCGCTCGAGGTTCGCGCTGATGTTCTGCAGGACGCGCTGGACGTACTCACCCTCTAGGATGCGGTTGATGCTGGGGCGCTGGGACGGGCTCGTCTGCAGGAGGCTGCAGCAGAGCGCGCGGACCTCTGTAGGGACGGTGGCCGGGATGGGCTCGTACGTGCCCGAAAGAATCCGCTTCAGCAGCTCCTTTAGGGTCCGCCCCGAGAAGGGCCGCTGCAGGGTGAGGGTCTCATACAGGATCACCCCCAGGGCCCAGACGTCGCTCTTGTTGTTGTACGGCTTGCTCTGGCAGAGCTCGGGGGAGAAGTAGTAGGGCGTGCCACAGACCGTGCGCGCGCACGCCATGGTGTTCTGCAGCACTGTCGAGATGCCAAAGTCCCCCAGCTTGACGACATCCTTGGACGTGAGGAAGATATTTGCGGCCTTGAGGTCTCGGTGCAGAATGTGGTTGTCGTGCAGGTATTTCAACGCCATGCAAATCTGTAAAAACCAAAACATGGCTAACTCCGGGCTGAAGGGCTTCAAGGGATCCTGACGCTTCGCTTCTTTCATGCGGGTGCTCAGATCACCACCATCAGCGTATTCCATGATAATAAAAATAAGAGTACTATCCTCAAAGTGCTCATTATAGCGGATAATGTTGGGGTGATTGATAGCTGCAAGAATTCGAATCTCATTCTGTACATCATTTTTTTCCTTTTCAGTCATGCTTGTGGAGTCGATGACCTTTGCAACATAGCGTTTCCCATTCGTCTTTGAGCGAACTAGAAGAGCCTCACCAAAACTTCCTTTGCCGATATCATTGATACATCGATACTTGCTTCGAAAAATAACCGACTCTAGCGCCTTGTATCTGTCCGCTACTTGAGCCATATTGAAACAAAAAAAACTCTGATGATAGTGTATTCGGTGCAGTAATAGGAATTCTGTCAATAATGTTAAGCTAGTATTAATTTTTTGAAAAAGAAATAGAAAATGTCTGCTTTGGATCTAGATAAATGGAAATAAAAAAAGAAAACATTGACTCAAAACAGGATATTTTACTTCTATAGGGAACTGGATAATTCAACCCAGTATAAATAAAAGCAATAGTGATAATTGATCCCTCCTCCGTAACTCTCAGATACAGCTAACGAAAAAAAAATACATCGGAATAGTAAAACCCCCATAACAAGAAACTGCCGAGATAAAGGCGTAGGATGATGCGTTAAGCCATGAATTATACAGATTTTTAAGGGGAAAAGAGTATATTGAGGGATATATACTTCAAAGAAGTAATGGATTAATCCATAATATTTAGATACATGGTTTACACTATTCACATAGGCTATCAAAGGATTAAGGAAAGGGGAAAGGACCCTAACCTTTACTACCCTCCTTTATAAATGTACTAATTAATAGCATTTCTTCAAATTTGAATAGCAAAACACTGAAATGTTTATCCTTTATTACACTCTTTCTCAAAAGCACAATGTATAATAAAAAAAAATTTCTTAGTAGAACCGTCGTAGACAAGATGACATGACAGAGGTTTTCCCGAAGGAATTCGGGATCCATTTGGGCGACCCTTTCAACTGATGCATATCTGTCTCTCCGGGCTCATTCATACCCCTCCGGCGCCTGTTTTGCTTCCCCTCCGCCAGCGTCGCTGGATCGATCCAAATGTTAGGAAATGGATTAATACACCCCCCCATGGTTGGCTTGTACGAAGACCAGTTAAAAGGCTTCTGAACTAATAGCTTTACGTCGGTTGCCCCGTGCTTATGGCCGGCTTTGTTTTTCTTTGAACTTGTCGATGGTTGGTAATCCATGTAGATCGCCGAGACGCCGGTGTTGGGCAACTCATCAAGGTAGGCTCGGCTGACGCCTTGCACACGAAACACAGGACCAATCATCTGTGGTTCAGGTGCTCTCTTCCTGGATGACTTTTTTTCAGACACCTCGGGCCTTTCCTCCCAGCCCTCGTTAAATATCTCCTTGGAGAGGAGCAAACCAGGATAGCCATAGGTACCCTTCTTGGATGGATTAACCTTGATGTTGGGAAGGTGTTTGTTCTTATCGACATTTTCGGCTGGTTTGGGTGCTGCTTTTTTCTTCTTTTTGCCGTCATCCCATGGCTCGGTTAGATACTCATACGGCTTGTTTTGAAAACATCCGTAGTAGCTTCCAGGACCCGTGCTCTTTTTCGGATAGGACGTGTAGCGAAACTCGGCATCGGAGATATTCTTGGGTGAAGGGCCGGCAGGCTGACTTCGCATCCGTTTTTCATTAGAAGCGATGATATCGGCACTCTGTTCGGTCGATGCCAAGGTTAGAAATTTATCTGACAAGTAATCTTTCGGTGGGCCTGGTAAAAGCGATTTGCCCAAGTACCGAGATGGAATGCAATCCTGCTTAACATATGGATCCGTTTTTGCAGGATCAGGGTCCGTTGATATGTATGGAGGGTCTTGGAATAGACCGCCATAAACACTTTTATTTATCATAGAAGCAAAGCTATGGGTGGTCCTACTTGGCTATAATTTATTACTTCAGCTTGAGAATTTTGAAGCTATCTACAAATTCGATCTAAATAGAGCAAAGCGAACAAGGAGATGGTTCAAAAGGTTGAACAAATTTTTCGGAAAAAAAAGGAAAGTAAAGCAAACAATACGCAGCAAAAATTGCAACGTATGTTTGCAACTACAAAAAGTCATATAAAAATAAAGGATGGTGATATGAGAGTGAATTTATTAGGCCACACCTACGCATATGCCTTTAGTGAAAGGAGTAATACGTAAAATGCTACATCCAAAACCCCCAAGTACAAAGAAAAATAGAAACAGTAAGGAACGTCGAATAACTCACATATTTAATCAATTTACTTTAGTGAAAATCTGATCGATGCATACAACCCCACCAGTGTAAATCACTTATTATAAACACAGAACAAACCCCTTTTAGGAGAATATAACCTAAGCTAGGAACTAAAGGAAACCAAAGTCAATGCATTAGTATTCACAGGAATACATACGACAAGAATCAGTAAATCTTAAAAAACACACACTAGAAAAAAAGGTTGCCGCTATCACGCAAAATCATGATCAGCAGGCTGTAAACCATTCATAGGTATCACACCATCAAAAATTCCTGATACACCATATGGATTCAGAGGGGTATCAGGTCTTGCTTCCATCTCGTCGATTACAGGGTCAGGAGCATCTATATCATCCATTGTAGCACCCATGTAAAAGGAATGACTTTTTCGGAAGTTCTCGAGAATCTCACGCTCGTATGTCTCACGCTCAGCCTTCTTTTTAGATTCCAGTACCGTACCACCCTCATTGTGATGCTGTATTTCAGCCTGAAATCCAGAAAACGTATCACGCCAAAGCTCAGACATCTTTTCTAGTGTTGAAGAGTTATCCTGGCCTATTGTAAGGAGGCGCTTAAAGCGCGTGTCATATACCTCAATGCAGTACGCACAAACAGACTTTATAAAGGCGCGATTTTCCATTTGGAACCTCGACTTAGTCTCTAGCTGTAAAAAGTTGTGGGCTGCCATTAGGCCCTTTTCAAGGGTACCTCGCATTTTGCGCCCCTCATCAGCCTTCAAGATGTGGGACTTGGTAACCTGTCGAAGGAAAGCTACGCAGCACAACAAAGACATATTATAGAAGAAAATAGGTTGTGGTTCCCCAGAATTCAACACTTTCGTTAAAATCTGGATGGCATCATCGTACCGCCCCTCGTTCGCCAGGCAAAAGGCATACGAAGAATCCTGCTCAGGGGCACGATGCTGAACCCCTTCTAAGTAATCGATTGCCTGTTTATAACGCTCACTGAGGACCTTGACGTTCGCCATGTGAACGAGGTGATTATCCCGCACATATTCGCAATTGGGCGTTACCTCGCTGACATGGTCAAGCAGAGATTGACAGCACGTGAAGTTGAGTTCAAGCCCAACGCAGCATGCCAGGCCGTGTGCGGCTAAGATGTTCCCCTTATCCACACGAAGAACCTCCTTATAGCGATACTTGGCGTACCTTAGATACTCACTGCTATCTCTACCATACTGTTGGCAACAGCGCAAATATGTCGCGCCCAGAGTGAGAGCCACAGGAATTGCCTTTGTCTTGGGGTTGGACAAAATGTTCAATGCCGCGGAATATAGCTTCTGTTCAAAAAAAATCTGCCCGAGGGCAGCTTGTGCCATGGGCTCCTGCGGGATCACCTGCTGAAGCAATACCAGCCACATAACCGCCTGCTTGTGGTGCCCGGCCTCCTTGGAAAGCTTGTGGAGACGCAAGTAGGGGAGTCGGAACCCGCTCTGGCGCTTCACTAGAAAAATGTATAGTTCTCGTGCTCGAGCGCGATCGTTCGCCTCTAAAAGCAATGCCAAGTTGAAAACCAAGGGTACATGTTCCACGGCGAAGTCTTCTCGGTCAAGAAAGTCTCGACCAAGCTCCTGATCTACAAGGGTCTGCATCG